TTTAATTCCTTCATACAAGGACGTGCACAAACAGGATTCCTTTAGGAACTGCCCTGACTGATATTGTGGCAGACACTTTCTTACCAGTTCCACTCTGATCATCCCTTTATATCAAGAAATAGCTCTACTGTCATTTGACCTAGAGAGAAAGTTCCTGTTCAGAGCTTTTGTTTGACTGAACTGACTTAATACATCATGAAACGTGACTTCTTTTTCTAGGCTTTCATATTACTAAAGCCACTTATGACTTACATGCTGATGTTGTCAGAAACGAGCTCAAGCCCTCAGAAGCAACCACTACGGCAATAGGCTCTGCTCTACATTCTCCTGAGAAGTCCAGGATATCGGAACAATTTATCTCTCTGTAGTTCCATCAATGCACTTCCATAGACTGATGTGTAAGCAGGCACTGCAGACTAGCAATGCAGATTAAAGAAAGCTTTCACCGCTGTTCAAAAGGTGCTCAGTCAGACTAGTAGATATTACTGTAGGAATGCTTTCAGGCAGGACTGATTAACAAATCTGTTCTTACTTGCAGCAGACCTTTTACCACAGCGATTCAAAAGTCACGAGACATGTCTAGCACATCCCACGTCATGCTTACATGAAGTCTTGCAAAGCAAACATAACTGAACATTCCTGTACAATAGCTGTTTTTTTAAACAGTCACTCCACTATTGTTAACTGAACTACAAGTTATGACAACTGATATATCCATAGTCATCTCTTTGGCATCCTTTATAAAAACATGAATCACGGAAACATTCATCATTAGGAACTCCCATCATAAGGGCATGTATACAGTGCCTCATTCAGCCTCGCTGTATCTTTCCACTCTGTAAAATGTAACTGTCAGAACAACTTGAATGAATCATATAGACCAACATGTAGGTTTGGTAAAGAAGAACTCTGATAAAACACACGTCAAAATTAATTACTTAGGTTTAGGTTCAAGTAATGCTTGTGTACAGAAGAAAACAAAAAAAATTCTTTTTTCAGAAGTCATTCTACTGCATATTGCAATAGCACCATGTTGGTGTACATTAATCGGAAAACAAAACACTTGAAAGAAAGTGGTTTACTGACAAAGCTCAGACATTGAAAAGCATGGACAAAGAGCACAAACAGGATAAAATAACTACTAAAACAGATTTGACTTGCACTTGGTCAACAGGAAAGGGAGGAATTAACCACTGAAGCTGCCCCAAAGTTGTCAAAGTAATAGAACTAACAAATCCAAAGCCCTTTCAAAGAGACTCATGGGGTTTTTCCCATGTTCCCCCTGAAAAAGCATTTCAACACTTGGAGTAACTCTTGGCTGAAACGGTGCTGACAGCTATTTTTTACGGCACCTTTTGTCTGTCCAAGCTACAGTATTAACATTGTTTCCCTGAAGGCTAAAGCGGCCTCACTAAGAATTGTGCCAGCCTTCTGGTGGTGACAGGAGGGTACAGATGTGGAATGAATGTAAGAACAACATACTACATCTTAAAAAGGAAATTAATTCAAGAGAATGGTGTGAATGATGCTACCTACAGGTGTCACCATCTGTATTTTCCCATGGGCATAGACACTTTCACTGCAAGAGACACAGTAACACCCCTCTGTGTTCTTGGTCTTCCTCTTCTCCAGGCAAGAGGTGCCTAAAAGATTTCCACTCCCTTATAAACACTAAGCATTTATTCATATTTTTGCGCATGCAGAGGGCTAACTGGTAAGAATTTTACACTAGCTCTGCTCGGTTATATAAATGAAGTCAGAGAAATATCAAACAATGGTTTTATAAGAAACACTAATCTTTTTAAAATTAAATAATAGATTTGTGTTACTTGCTGTAATAATGCAGTGCCTGATTATAAGAAGTTGTATGCTTAATTGCATTTGTTTTCACTCTCTGTCCATATATGCCTTAATGTGTCTATAAAACTCCCTAGGGCTATCATAATGCAATGTTTCAAATGTACTCCCCTAAGCCACAATGATCAGAGGTGACCCTTACCCATAACATTACAAGTGTCAGGTCTCATCTACAGAAAGCAAGTAATTTCTGCTATCCGTAGATTTCAAAATTGACGTGTTTGCTTGGCTTTTAGGATAAGTCCCAGAACTGGCAGGATTTTCAGTGCTTCTGTAGTGCTATGAGCTGTAGCTGCTAAGATCTTAATTCTTAATTTAAATCCTATTGCAGAGAAAAACAGTGCATATAAAACATTTTTCTGCATTTCATTACCGCATAAATAGATTGAAGGAATTTAAATCTTTTGGTATTAAAAATCTTATGATAAAAAGATAAAAATTACTATCATAGCCTAAAAGAAGCAATTTATACTTTTTAAGGTAAATGACATGAGCATACTTACTTGTCTTAATCATAGATGTGGATGTTCAGGTCAGAAAAATGTTACATATCACAGTATCACAGTATGCTAGAGATTGGAAGGGACCTCAAAAGATCATCTAGTCCAATCCCCCTGCCAGAGCAGGAACACCTAGATAAGGTTACACAGGAACGTATGTACCATTAGAAGCTGTAAAAGCAATAGTGTTTTAAATACAGTATTATGAACATTTTATTAGTAAAAACCAATGCTGATATTAAAAGCATATAAACCCATACATCACTTTATAGCTACACTGCACAATTACAGGCAATTACATGCTCTAACTGGAGATCTTGTCCTAGTTCTGTTTTGCTTTCTGTATTCTCATTAGTTTATGGCTGAAGAAATAACTGTCTCAAGTATTATGTTTGCTAAGAGGCTCTTAAATTAATGTAAAGTTGCCATACAGATGCTACTTGATAGCCTGGAAATTGCACACAGGTTCCAATTACTATCTCTATTTTCTACTGGAATAGAAAAGCAAACTAATAGCTGCAACACAAGGTGTTTATTGACTAAATAAGCCTTTGCCATGATACAAGTGAAGATAAACAGCTACAGCTTTATTGCCACTGATAAATAATCTTTGTGAACAATGACTTCACCAGGTTAATATTAAACCTCATTTTGTCTCTTTATGCTCATTAGAATTGGAGGGGTATTGGTAAGGGTAAGAGGGATGGTATCAAATAAAATTTGGACTTGAGATATATTGGAAAGCTTCTCCTTTCATACACTCTCAGTGCCAGCAGCCTTTCTTCAGTGTTGTCTAGGTTACTTTAAATGATGTTCTTATAAGAACAGATTTCAAGCCATTATGAATGTTACATTTCAGCCTTCTACAATTAAAATTACCAAGTAGTTCTAACAGCGGTACTAAGTAAAACAGAGTAGGAAAGACAGCACTGTTAGTACAATCACTGCAGAATGGCCAGGGCACTCAGTAACCTTTCACAGATGACATTTAATAAAATAGAGTTCACAATTTAGTTTTTTAGATTACATTAACACTTGAATGCATTTTATCTGCCTGAAAAAGAGGCAGGCAAGTGAGACACCACAAAGCTGGCAAAGGAGAAAGAGACAGCTAGAAGAAAAAAATAACAGTTTCAAATTACACATTTTTCTTTTGCCAAGAGAACTACGTATGCCACAACCACAAGGTTATTCTCCCACAACTTCATCCCTCATTTTTCATCATGAACATCTCATGACTTGGTCAATACTTTTCACTTGGGCTCTGATCTTGAACACTTGCATATATATTTAAATTTACTCACATTGAGGAGCATCATATGCTGCAATAGGACAATTCAGCAAATACATACATCTTTTAGGATCGCTGGCATTGTTTTGTTGTAGTGAAGCAGGATGTTAAAATAGCTTCCTGAAAATTTAACAAAGAACTTTACACAGACAGGAAGAACAAGTCAACCAAGCGTTCAACCTTAAGTTGAAAAGAATGTTTAAAAGACACACTCAAAACTAACAGAAATACAGACATAATCTTTGCTCTGCTCTCTCTCTTCGTAGTGCAAACAGCAGTTGTCGATGTTCTGAAATAGAGAATTTTTGAAAATTAAAATGATTTCAAACTAATACATTCTTCTCTGCTATATACCGTGCCAAACTGTGCATTATCAGACTTGTGATGTGTTTCTCTGAATGATTAATGGAACACTTAACATTACAGTATCTCACCAATATACAGTGTCAATAAATCCCAACAGGACTTTGAGTTCTAAAACTAAATAACCTAATGTTCTATGCATATGATGTCCTGAAATCACAGATCTCAGTATTGCAACATATTTGGAAAAACCCAGACTTGCAACACCTGGTATCATATGGGATATATGATTCTGACATGACATTAAAATCCATTTCTGTCTATACATAACCTTTTTCCATATGGAAACATGTATACACTGAAAATCAGTTATGCACTGGAAAACGTACAGCTATTTCACAGCACTGCTTTATGGCTCTGGGGGACTGTAAAATGGCATTTCTATGGATTTGAGGTGTACCAATTTGGGACATTAAGTTTGATGCCACTAGCACTAACTGGTCTCACCTAGCTGTAATGGAGGGCGGATGTGTGTTCTTTTGGAGTGGTTTAAGCTCCCGCTTTGGGCAATGGAAATGATGGGTATGTAGACTACAGTAAACAGCACGCAGAATCAGTTTTAAAAGTTGTTGCAAACAACTACCACCAATTTTCTTATCACAGAAAATCAGCAGGATGCATCTTATGAGTAATACACTTCAGCAGTAGCAAGTACTTGCAGAAATGTTTCCAATTAACTCAATTTAGGTTGCCAAGAAATTGAAAAATAAAACACAAGATAGTGTCAATTTGCACACATCATCTTTGCACCACTGCAGCACTTAACACATTTTGCAACTACTTAATTAAAATTTATATTGCACTGAAATACATGTCTTGTAAAAAGTGAGTTAAAAATTGTGTCTGTTTATAGCTTAATTTATCATGAAAATATCATCAAAATTATCAGGAAACCTAATAAAAGTTTTAAATTGATTGTCAAAAAGAATGTGTACTTACTTATAAACACGTTTTCTTTGTATATGATATTACAACTTAAAAGAATACACTTAATAATAAATAAATTCTTTATTCGATTAAATTGGTGCAATCTTATCTTCACTCTGTTAAAATCAACTTTGAATAGTTTGATCCTGTCAGCTTTATTTCCTAGTGATATGTAGAGCCTTCTGTTACATTTTATGACAATTTGAACATATTACAATCAAATCATCCAAAACCTAACAGAAATAAAGAAAACAAGAGACAGTCTGGCTAACCAATAAGATTCCACGTTTGACATGGTATATGAGCTCCATTGACTAACTGTGAATATTACTCAAAAATTAAAAATCTTTTCTGAAAACTGTGGAAGAGGAAACATTAGTAGAAATAACAAGAAAATACAAAGAAAACCAGCAAATCATTGTATCCAAAATGGTAGTCAGTAATTTTCAAAAGGTGTTGCCTCTTCACTTTATGATTGCTTTTTGTATTTCTGAATTTCTATTATTCTAAGTTTCTTGGAGAAATATTGTTCTTCATCTTGGTAATTCTCCAATAAAACAAAAAATACAATCTTCTTTGTTAGAGCAAAGGAAAATAATATAGTCTATACAGCTGGTGGTCCTACAAAGCATGCCAATGTCATATTACACCGACTGGTTCTTCTTAAACAGATGCACTGAGTTTCTGAAACAGTGCCAGAACATGGAAAGTTCTGACGTGGGTGCTACTCTTTTTTGTTAACAATGTGGTATTTACAACAACAAACAAACTCCTGACTTAGCTTCGCCTCCATTTGCGTAACCCCCGGAATCTACTCTGTTAGGATCATTCAGTTCTTCAAACAGTCCTGTTTCAATAATTTCTTCCTGCCACGCTACAGGGACAGCCCCTGTTGCAAACTTTTTGAAGAACTGCTTATCTTTGTCATCAAACTCAACTCCTCGTACTTCAGAGAAGTCAGCAATGTCTGTAACATCTTTGGCATAGACAACTGATGGATCTGGCACAAATGGAGGGTCAATAAGGTTTGCCTCTAGCCTGTGAAAATTTATTGTTTTGAAGAAACTATGTTTTCTTGGGTCATCATCTTCATTTCTGCAATAAAGCAAAAGTGTATTAATCAGTATGATGTTCTGCTCTGGACAGATAGAGATGTGTCTGTGTCATATACATCAGAGTATTGTAAAGTAAGGAGATAAAGATACATGTCTCATGCAAAACAATTCCTTTCTTCATAATGAAAGAACACTTCATTGCATAATATAAGCAAAGCTGACAAGAAGAAAATATCCTGAGCCCATTATTCATTACTCTACCTCTCAGGGTAAATCAGTTCGGGCAAGGTGCCATGCAAGGGTTGCAGTGCTGCTTTTGCCAGTGCACTGAGATACCCATAACCAAAGATACACTTTAACCAGAACTGAAGATCCAGCAGGATGGGGAGGCAAACCATTGGATTTACTGCCCAACAATGAAAGTTCATATTAAACCTCTCTATATAACTAAGATCAGAATATCTATTAACCCAATGTATCCAGTCTTGAGTTTAATACATCTAGGGACTGACTCTGGGGAACAACAGTCTGAACAGGGAACTGGTGACAAATGACGTTTCTGGTTTTATCTTAATTCAAAGCAACTAGGTATTTACATCATAAAACTCAGTTCTGTTGCTCTAACAAGCACTCCCAGTTTTAGTGAGTCTTCTTATTCAAATGAACTATTATAAATTAACAAACATTTTAAGCATGGTTCACAAATTATGATAATAGCAAAAGTATGTGTACCACTGTCACAAACATAATCATTAATACTATTAAAACCCAATAATAAAATTCAGAAATTACTAAAATAATTGTAAAAACATATTTTAAGTGTATCTTCTGAAAAACAACTGCAGAGCTCAGGGAGAACTTTTGCTGTAAAAGAAACCGTAAATTGTTTCATTGTAGACCCAGGAAGAAACTTGTAGGATATTCCAGTTATAAGAATAGTCTCAGCCTCAAATGTGTGCTTGTTAAACCATGACCAATGATCACGGTTTTTGAATGGTGCCTGTAGCATCACAGCATACAAAGTTTGAATTTTGAATTCTAGTGGTAAGTGAAGAGAGGGCCACTGTTTTTCTACACTTATGCACTCTTTTTCTTTTTAAATGTATTTATGCATGCAGTGGTCTTGAAAATGGAAGCAAAGGAAAAAAAAATTGCCTGTTTTTTGGCCCCAGAAAATGGTAGTTACCAACATGTTGCTTTTTTCTTTTCCCAATTCCTTACAAAATCATACACTTAGCAAAGTATAAGACCTCATGTATTTCTAGACAATGTTTGAGATGAACAAAATGTAATGCAAACCTCTGGTAAGTCTTTTTATCTTTGCAGATGTGCAGAAGCACCATAAAGAATTAGTACATTTGTGTGACTACAGAAAATCTCAATTTTTTAAGACCTTATACTATGTATGCAAAACAGCTCCTCTAGCTTGCTACTCTTGCCAGGTCCTCATTTGCTGTCCTGCTGTGCCTCTACCCTGCCTTGCTGCTACCCAGGCACAGCTGAGATGAAACTACCAGCTGTACTTTTCAGCTCCCTTGGTACAGAACTATCATTTTATGCTTCTGCTGCCTGGTTCTTCTTTACCAGCCACTAACCACTGTACAGCACAATGACAAGGATGCTAAATTACATCCTGAAGAACAATAGATGCTGCCATGTGGGCACCCTGGCCTATGAAAATATGCTGTTTTCAATCCAAAATAGCTGTATGAACATGATTATGAATGTATAGATTAAGCCAACAGGAATCATGACTTCTGCATATAGTCTTGTAAAATCACCTCCTAACTTAACTAGCTAGTGATAACCAAGTACCTGAGCAGCCCTTGAGCCTGGTGTGATTTATTTACATTCACTGCTAGCTTGAAATGCATTACAGTTGCTATTCAAATTAACAAGTGTCCTGGAATGCTAGAGAGCTGGTAGTGCTGATGCTCCTACTGGGCAGATGCACCCACAAAAGTTTCACTTTACTTTGCTTTTCCTTTCTGTTACATGAGTCAAAGCAGCTGGTGAAGGCTCCAGAATGGATTGCAGCAGTATTTATCCTTCTGATGCATTTCCTGACACCACCAAAACCATAAAACATTTAAAACCATAAAGCTACAGGAACGCCATCTACTGGAACCGAGGCATCTTCCAACTAGCTGTAGGTGAACTAGAGCTCTTCCAATATGAATTGCACGTTTATGTAACTTAAATAGGAAAGGCAAAATAACTTATCTCAAGTCTGTCATTTTTTTATTCCTCCATCAAAGATACAAAATAATTAAAAAAAAAATCACTTTACAGAATTGGGATTTTGGGATTTGAGATGCCAAAAAGCTTGAGTGGAGAAAAATGGCTATATCATTCCCAAGTTAGCCAGTGACATAGTCCTCAATAAAAATGGAGAATTTTAAAAGGTCAGGTGTGCAAAGTAAAGCAGTCCTTGAGCAGCTTTAACTTATGCAACAAGCACTTATGTAGCTAACTCAAGGTCTTCGTGTCCTTAGTAGAATTACAGTGCTAATCTTTACATAAGGATGAGCTGTCCTGAATAGTATCACCCTCTTTAAAAGGTACATGCAGGCTTTTATTTTGTATCGTGCCCAAGCATGGTATACATCATACTGTTTTCCTTCTCTATGTACAGCACATAAGAGTATCTTAAACAGCAGAAAATTATAAATAATCTGCACGATTACTTTTCTGTGTATATTTCTCCCACTACTGAGAAATAACGTAACATTAATAAGACAGAATGACTGTAAATGATTCCCTTGGCAAAGAGAATGTGGTTACAGTAAGTGAATAGTCTGTTGCTGGTTTTGCTTCAGACTTGCTGAATGAACTAAGTCACTCAGAATCTCTAAATTTCATTTTCTTCTACTCACTTCACAAAATGCTTCAAGACTAAATATCCACAAAGCATGCTGACTCGTTTAGTATCAAATTCCTTTTCAGGTAATTCTTAAATGCATTGAAAATAATACAGGTCTTGTATCAAACACACTCCATGTGCTTTTGGAAGTCTTTTGTTTTCCTGCAGCCTTGCAGAGTTATTAGGAAAACTCATCAGGCACAAAGAGCAGTTGTCTTCATTTAGCACTTAAATATTAAGAATACATATATTAATTATATGTAACCTTTCATTAAAGTTAACTATTTCAGGCAAATATATGTCTAACATTTTGCAAAACTGTTCCACATTCTTATGAAATATAGATTTAGAAGACTGTGTATTTTCATTATGTCCCTGTGTCTATTCCACCTTTAGATTGGAAAAGCACCTCATACATACATTTGTATTTATAGGCAATCCAAATAATGGCGTATTGTCAAGACAGGTACTATCAGCTTCCTATATGTTTTGGATTTGCTTGTTTGTTTTTTTACATTTTTACTATATTTCTTTTGTCTATATTGCAAATGCAGATCCCACATCTGTCTCACTAGAAACGCAGTAAATGATTTTTTTATACACACAGATGTCACAGGGATCAGAGATGTTACAAGTTAACTATTACAATGCCTAACCTTCCAATTTTTTTCTTACTGAACAGTTACTCGAAATGCTAAATCATGGATATATCCCTCATCAACCCAAAACCATCCCTGAAGTCCTTAAAAATGTTCTGCTTTATAAGAAATCATGCCCAATATTATTTTCCTCTCTTTTCTCCCTGGGATGAGTCAGGATGATCAGGAGCTCTACTGCATTTTTTTTTAAAGCACTTGAGTCATGCAGAGGGGTTAAGGTCTCCTCAGTGAGAAGCCAATGACGCGGCCTTCTAAGTTAGATATCTGCAGGGAAGAGAATCCACATTGCAGATCTGGATTTTTGCCCACATCATTCCAGTAAGTGATACAGTTTAAGATTCTGCATTCAGTCTGCGTTAGCATAGATGCAGGTACCTACTTGAATACCCATTACCTTTAGGAAATGCAGGTAGAATGGACTGCTCCCTTCTCCTAAGACTACATAAAGCCTAACCCCACAAAATACCAAGAAGGGAGCTCCTATGACTAGTTTAAGGACAGAGAAAGAATCACAACAAAATTGTTTATTTCCATATTACCTTCACAACTTTCCACCTCTCTCTTCCTAGAAGGGAAAATTCAGTACTTTACAGAAAGCAAAGATCTAACCTTATTTTGAGTAATATGCAAAATAATGTTTGCAGCTTTAATCTGGCTTCTACAGAGTTGGAGAAGTAACGCATACCTGCTTCCTAAACGACTCTCCTTTTTCTTAGCCAAAAACAGCCGGCAAATATCTTTTGTTTCCTCTGTAAAGTTGGCATGTTCAAATTTCACTTCATCTTCCAGAGTTCTTCTTTTAACCTCATCTTTATCGACCTTTTCTTTGAAATCCTTGAATGGTGTTCGCCCAGCGACCATCTCGTAAATACTACACCCCATTGCAAACCAGTCCACAGGATAGCTGTAATCTTCTTCCTTCAGGATTTCCGGAGCCATATAACCATTTGTCCCAGCCTATTGCAAACATACAAACCAGTTTACTGTATGATGTCAGTAATGAAATGCATACAATTAAACAAACTAGTCTATGATTCTTCCAAACCATTGTAATGCAGTTGATATATTTTGTATCTAGAAACTCAGATGTAACTGTTTTAGCATAGGGACTATACCTGTCTTTAAACATCTTAGCATACGGGGAAACTGTTTTAAATCTGCTCTTCAAAGGTGAAATGTCTGTGCAGTTTCTACCTTGAAGGCTTTTTTATTAAATTAATGTTTAAATTGCTTTATTCTTCCATGTTATTTTTTCCCGTTGAAGACAGTTTTGCCAGCTTTTTCTGTAAACACAATTAGCAATCAATTTGAAAAGATGAAAAATAGGACAAAAATCAGACAATCACTGATTCCCACCCTATGCAGTAGTTAGAACTGGCCCATGAGAAAATTCTCATCAAGACAGTAGCTGAGCTGCATGAGGAACTTCTCACCCTCACTCCCTGTTGATTTCTGGAAGGAAATACTACCATCAAGGGCCAAGAAAAACCTTGTAAAACCACTGTAAGAAAGTAAACTTATGAAAATTATAATTAGTAAATTACATGCATTCAGGTGAAATAATAAGTTCATATTCCCTAACTGAGAAAAGCTCTCTGAATAAAGACTAATACTTGTATACAGCACTAACAGACCCCTCCTCAAGAGAAGTGGCTGCTCTTTGAGAGAGGAATCTGCCTGATTCCTTCCCAGGCCAAGCCTGGCACATTCCCCTTGGGGTCAGACTGTACAGTATTCAAAACAGCCCCTGCTGCCTCTCTCCAGGGAGCTGATTCACCTGGGAGGGAAGAGAGGAGGACAACAACCTCTCTATCTGCTTTCTGCTGCACTGTTACATGACTGAGGGTGTGATATTTCAATTGGAATAGCATTCCCACAGCTGACCCAACACTTCCCTCCACATTTGATGCTGTATCTTATTTTACGTATTTCCCAGATGCAGCTAACAGTGATAATTATTTCAGAAGTTGCTTGACCCTCTTTTACCTTTTTGAAATACTTGGACTGATGTTCAAATAATATTACAATTTACAATAAAAAAATATGTTTGTGCAAATCCCACCAAAGTTTATTCAAGATGGTCATTTTTACTGCTACCAGAACACAAGTAATGACAGAGATTCATTCCAAAGCAAGACAGTTAAAAAAAGATAACTAAAACTAGAGCTTATCTGGGCAAATTATGTTTTTAAAAAGCACAGCTCAACAGATCAATTTTACTTTATGTGGTCTGTGTAACTCCTCTAACTTTTGCAACTTCAGGCTCAGTATTTCTGAGTCATACCACTACACATTATGGCATATACTCCACTGTAAACAATGTGTGCAAGGGAATATCATAGCATCAATTACAGCATAAACTTAATGGACAGAAAACTAAATCCAGTTTGTTTTCCTTCTTTGTGTTTTTGTGTTTGGTTGGGTTTGGAGGGTTTTTTCCCCACTTTTAGGATATAGAGAAAAATTATCCATTTGGTTGAGGTGAGAACAACACAAATATCAGCCAGGCCGAAAGCAAGATAAAAAAAAGTGAACCATTCCCTTTCTCGCTAAAGCCACAAAAGTAAAGAAGAGCCATACGGGCACTGCAGCAGCTGACGTAATTCCACAGGTAATTTGCACTGTTTTTGTCTAAGCAAAAGTTAATACTGAGAGAAACCCTGATAGCATTACATTTTTATGTACAATTATTTCTCCGTTCAGAAAGGGGGTCAACTGCTCAAATACAGACCACAGAACCCCAATTCATACGGCCTCAGAAGGTCATGAAACCTGGAAGGGTGAGGAGAAGTTGAAAGCAGTAGGGAAAGTCTGGTACAAAAGGGGGCACACATAGCTCATTGCAGGTTAGTGAACACAGACACTAAATAGGCTTCTCAATATTTTTTGGTTTTTCTTTTTTCTTTCCCTTTCTGGGAAGCAATAAACATTTTTACTGAGATGAAGCTGGGGCACTAATGCCTTGAAGAACTGATGAGTCATATCATCATCAAAATGTACCCTGACAGCACAGTATGGTCTTTCTGATAAGACATAACTTAGCTGCAACAGCATCATTATACAGGAGCTGGATAAATCTGACTTGGAAAAGCCAGAATTCTCTGGTCGTAACTGTGTCTCGAGGCAGCTCCTTCCAGACTGCCTCTCTTTCCTTCCACTTTTTCATAAGAAATAGTTGCCAGGTAACTTCAGTCTCTCCCATGTGCATTTTCCACATAACCTTCAACAAGTCACCCCATATGGAAGAACTCTGTGCTTTGACATGGTAATTAACACAAGAGAAAACAAGATCATAATCACAGACCAAGACTACTTCATGACTACAGTTTAATAGAAAGTAGAGATGGACCAACAACAGCCTCTCTTCAGACTAAAGTAAAAGAGTGTGGATGGGGTTACTGTAAACAAGAATTACGAGTCAGAATTCTAAATTGGTATCACTCAAATCTTCTGGCTTGTTATTGAGCTGATCCAGCTCAATCTGAGAAAAGTCTAGAAACTTATCTTGTTCCTCTGATACGTCAAACCTTTCCAATTCAGAATTTTATGAGAGATGTTTTTCTCATGGAACTTCATCAAAATTTATACCTAATCTTTGAAAAAATCACTACCAATCCTGAAGCTTCCCTATGATCATAATGAAGGAACAAGGCTGAGAAGCAGGAATCTAAACCTGATGTCATAACCCCTAAGGCTCAAAACCCACTGACATATTACCATTTTATAGCAGAAACAAACACATTTTGCAAGTAGTCAGCACTGATGTTTAGGGGGGAAACACATAAACAAGCAGGGGGAAGACAGATCTCTGCAACCTTTATCAAAATCAGAATTTGAAGAAAGGAAGAAAAGAGCTTAAATTTTAGTCTTTTCCACTATTTATACATATGTGGAGCTTTGCCAAATTTATTTGGGAAGATAGATGACAAAACCATAAGCATTTGCTGTATTCAGGAACACAAAGGAATTATTTAAACCCCTGGAACTGGAAGAACATACACCTTTCAAATGAAGATTTAATTCTGCTTCTTGGGAAGCAGACAGTATTAGAGGAAAGCTAAAACCTAACATCCCTGCACTAATCATTATACCGAACAAAATGTCAAAAATCAGATCATCTTTCAAAGAAAAAAGATCCTGTGGCAACATGAAAGGCAGCCTCGCTGACTCAAAGGTTTATATAAACAGGTAAAGCAAACTTAGTGAAAAACGTTTTCAAACTATCCAACTCCCACTAGCAGTAGAGAGATTTGAGCAGCAAAAACCAGTTTATTAGGTGGAAAATGTATCCACTGATTCCTAAAGCAAAAATGAATCGAAGTAATAGGTTACTCTCAGCAGCCCAAGGAGTAGTTTAATATACTGTAAATTATACTCCAATGTAAAAGGGGAAGATACATAAAAGCAGAAAGCAAAGGAATTAAAAGGTATCACAAAAAAGATAAAAACATTATTTTTGAAAAGGGCTCTATTTTCCATGGGCTGGTATTGAAGATTTAATTCAGTCAGAGTTACCTGACCATGCCTCAGAATGGATACCCCTAATTATGGGTTACAGGTGTGTTTATCACACACAAAAAAAATCACTAGGTTTGTATGATTTTGTGGTTGTTTTCACTCAATACAATTTATAAGTAAATTTAGAACTGTATTAACTGAAAAACCCTTTCTTACTGGATCTTATAAAATATGGGTAAATTTCACACTTTTAATGGCAACAGGGAAATATAAAAAAAACCCACGCTCAGAAACTGAATTCCTTTCTTGTCAGCTTTACACTAGGATGTGCATTAGGTTTTGGCTGAAGCTTAGAACAAGCACATTATCTTCTTTTTTCCTCTAGGATTTCTGCTAAGACCAGGAACCATTTAACATATGTGTTGATGACTCAAGTGATCTCGTAGAGACACATATACACATGGAATTACCCCTTCATTTACCTGGAAGCGTCTAATGGGACACCACAAAAGAGTATCACAAAGGAGCCAAAGAATATGGTATTATCCAAACATTTTTTACAGAAGGCAGAAATCATATGCCCCACAGAGGCACATAACTCTATAGTTAGAGTAATATTAGCTATTTCTTGTTTGCTCTCCATCTCGTACTGTCTTTTGTGGTAATGAGCAGGATGCCTTAACTTGCATGTGCTGTCTGAAATACAAAAACAGTAATTAAATTTCAGTCGATTAAATTTTCATTTACCTGCTTTTGAAAAGTTAAAGATCTACTTCTCCCTTTGTTTCTCTATCTTGAAAACAACCCAAAATACAATTTTTCAATAATCCTCTAAAATGTAATGACCAAATGTTATCCTCATATACATTAGTGAAGAAGTTCCATTAAGTGCTTTGAGTGGGTTTGATAGGGCATAGTAGAAATGACTCATCTGAAAGTACACAAATGGTTTTTTTGTGAGATGAGATCCTGCATACATTTTTAAAAGGTCACATAACTATAATCTTTCAATAATATAAGATGTGATCCTGAGAAGCACTAAGTGCACTTAGTACCCAGGACAGTCAACGGGTACTTGGCACACCACAGCGCTGGGCAGACTGAGGAACATAGTGTAAGTATGCTCAGACATCCTATTCAGATTGCTGTCCTGAGAAGGGAAAGTCCCTTAAACACCAGCATTATCCCAGCTTCTAGCAGAGGCAGGGGAGAAAGAAAGAACTCTCTGAAGCGCTTTCATCAGAACAGAAACAGGCAAATGAGGAGAAATGGCATTTAGATCTGTCTCTACCTTTTCCCACAGATCTCTGCAAAACAAACTCAATAGATATTAAAAACCAAACAGCAAAGCAAATCAGAATGTCTATCTTTTGTTTGCCATGGCACAAGAACTGTTGAACACGGGAAAAAAAACAAGCTCAGTTTAGCTCTATCAGCTGTTTCCTGGGGCTTGGTCCTTCCTTCCTCCAAGGGGTGCCACTGCCTGCTTTGTTCTGTTG